AAAAAAAAAAAAAAAAAAAAAAAGACCGTTGTTAGTATTATGTTTAAAAATAACATCTATTAATTATTTTTTTAACAATAGTTAGTGGTATTTTTAAAGTTTTTAAAAAAGTTTAAATTTTGAAAACTTTGAAGGATTTTTTGAAACACTATTTTAGTAAAATAGTATTTTTGAAATTTCAAAGCTAATTTTGAAACAAATAATTAATTATTTTTTAATTTTGAAACAAATTATTAGTTATTTCCATCCAAACTAAGGGAGGAATATTTTAGATTTTTTTTTTTTTTTTAATTATGAGATTTTTTTTTTTTTTTTTTTTTTTTTTACCATTTAATGATAATATTAGAATTTTTAGAAGTTGAAAATTTAAAGTTTTAACTCCCAAAATCTAAAATAAGAAAACAAACAATAGACAGACAACAAGCCATATATAGAGAGATGCTTTATCAATCTGCATAAAGAAGGGATAAAAGAGATTCCTAGTTTAGACGAGTACCCGCCTCTGACATTCTAACGTTGCTTCTTCTTGGGTCCAGACGCCAAGGATAACATTATACATATACACGTATGTATTTGCTTATGAAATATATTGATTTATTTATTTTTTATTATATTAAAAAATAAAAACTTTAAGAGAATAACAAACAAAAATTACCTATCAAAAACTCGATCCCTGCAAAAATAAATAAAAATAGGTGACAAAAAAAGCTTTTCCGTCCCCGTCCTCGGGACATCTTTAGTCATGTATCCTGCAATATCTTTTAGAATATTAAAAATAAAAATGTATAAATCCTTTATTAATTGGGTCCAAAAAGCAGGCAAAAAAGACGGACCCAGTCCAAGGGGCAATTCCACGGAGAAACCGAAGACGACGTGATGGCTTTAGGCTGAGACTTCGGTTCGTTCAACCGTCCTCCTACTTAACAAACAAACTTGCTTTTTTCTTCCACTTTCTCAGCACAAAAAAGTCCACCCCTGACTCCCTCCCTACCTCCCCAAGTCTTCGTTCAACCCAATTTCCCTTCTTTAAAGCTCTCATTTCTTCCCATTCTCAAATTTCATTCCCCATTTTCACTGAATCTTCGAGTTCTGCTGTGCCCAGATTTTGTCAATGGAAGAACACACATCGGGGATCAGTAAGTCATTCGAGGGCTCTCTTACCATGGAGCTAATGGGGAAGATCATGGCGGCGGCCATTTTCATCCTCTTTTTGGTGATTGTGTTTGTTTTGATTTTACAGCTTTATTCCAGATGGTTGTTGTCCCGCATTGATGAATCGTCGTCGGATTCTGCCATTCTGCGTCGGTCTGATCAGGAGTCTTCTGTAGCTACAATGACGAAAGGGCTCGATGCTGATGTACTCCGGTTGATTCCGGTAGTGGTGTTCTCGCCGGAGGATTTCAAAGAAGGGTTGGAATGTGCTGTGTGTTTGTCGGAGTTGGCTCAGGGTGAGAAAGCTCGGTTGCTTCCAAGGTGCAACCATGGCTTCCATGTTGATTGTATTGACATGTGGTTCAAATCCAATTCCACTTGCCCTCTCTGCAGAGATCCAGTGGCTCCCAAATCCTCAATCCCCACGGAAATTAACTCTGCAGAGGATTTGGAATCTGGGTCTTCAATGGAGTCTCCTATTTTTCCAACGAATATTCTGTTTTGGGGGAATCAAATGCAGATAAGTTCAAGAGGGGTTTGTTTGGAAGAAGCTCAAACTTCTTCTTCCTCTTCCTCTTCCTCTTCTTCATCATCTAACATAAGGGCAGATGGAATGGTGGTTATAGACATTCCAAACGAGCTCTCTTCATCGTCCTCCGGCACCAGCGGCCGTTCCGCCGGTGAAGAGATGAAATCAGTGGTGACATCCAGATTGAAAACGTTGAAAAGGCTTCTGAGCAGAGAGAGAAGAATCGGCAACAATCTCACTTCCCTGAATCTTGAACAAGCAGGGAGAGCGCAGAGTTAAAAAAAGAAGAACAAGAATCAATGGCTTTGTTTCTAAAATCTTTTGCACATATAAAAGTTAGAAGAGTCAAGTGTAAGAGCTTACATATCATTCTTTGTTCCAAGCCAGAGACTGTGACCTCCATAGTCCGGCTGTTGCCATTGAAAAACCTGTGCACAATTATTTGGATGTGATATTCAATGTGCAAATTTAGGGGTTTTGTTCATCTTCTCATGCAAGAGATTGGGTTCTAGTGGATGAAGTTCATCCTTCTTTGTTCTGTGTAAAATGTATCATCAAGGGATCAATCAAATATTATTAACTTAATTGATATTAAAGTTCGCCACCTAGTTTGAACACAATGGTTTACTATGAAAATTCAAAATAGATAGTCTTTAGCTGCCAGGATTGAATTATTCCTCCAACGCTCAAATACCAGAATACAACAGAGGAAATATCAAATATTCAAATGTCAAACTTAATCTAACTTGAATTAATAATATTAACTAACCCGGATTAATACGTTGTTCGCCGTACACAGAGACAGAGACAGGAGAGACAAAAGTGAATCTAAAAATGAAAGCAACAATGAATTGCGTCACCATTATCAACTTCAGTTGTAGAACAGAAATGCAGAATTAACCAACCTTGACTTTATAGTAAATTTCCTTTTCTACACGAAGTTGACAAAGTCTATAGTTTCATAATAAAAATACAAGACTTTTGAATACATTTGAAGACCACATATGAGGCATCAAACTTACAAATGCATCAGGAGACATGAATCTAAAAAGACGAAACAGTTGCATAATTAATGAAGAAATACGGAATTGAAAACAAAATTAACAGAGGAAGACAAGATTTTACTTGATTCAGAATGAGTTGTGGCCATCTCTTGTTGCACTTAACAGACAGCAAAATCTTGGACAGTGAATTTAGGTGTGGTTGGCAGAAAGATACAAGAGATATCCGACAGGAAGAACCATATTTTCCAGAGGAAAGCTTTGATTACTGACCTCTCATAATTCTCTAATATTGGCCTGGTCACTTCCAAGATCTTGTATGGTATATGCTGCATCAGAATATCTTCTCCCACCCCACCAAAAAAAGAAAGGAAATTTCCTCAATATTGCTTGAAAGCCTATGCCACAACTCCAAAAACTGTATCTAAAAATAAACAATCCTCATCATTATCAAGCTCCCACTTTCCCGGTGAAAACTCCTAAGCTACAATTGACCGCACTTTCTATAGCTTATTTTTGAAGACTTCTTTGCCAATCAATGCTTTTGCGACTGCTGCAGTGTACAAGGATTGGTTTGGGATCGTAGCTACACTTTCCGTTTCCTTTTGCCTGCCTCAGCATTCTCAGACTGATCGTTATTCCGTTTCCTTTTGCTGCCTCAGCATTCTCAGACTGATCGTTATTCCGTTTCCGTTTGGAACTTTTTCTCCCATCAAAGATATTATTATCTGTGGAAGGTCTGGAATATGTTTTACCACCCTGCTTGCCCTTTTCTGACTTGCCCTTGAAGCCAGAAATTGATAGAAAAGGGATATCAGAAGTTGCGTGATGCTCAATCTCTTGCCGAATTGTCTTCACATCCTTTGGGTGCGATGTATGCTTCGAACTATCAGCAAGGAACTCAGTCTTCAGTGATTTGGACCTTCCAGACTCGAATGTATCATGAAATTCTTTGTAAGCTGATTCCCTTGATGCTTGTTTTGACCTCCATTGGTCAGGTCGGGATGCATACCTAACATGAAGCATAATTAGGAAAAAGAAAAATCAATAAAATCCGAATGAAACATGCATCCCCAACTCATATGACGAAGGAAACAGATCAAGATCATATCCATAAAATAAAAGGCATTAATTGTATACCCTTCAACATCCAACTTCCTCAAGAGATGAGGTCCTTGCTTGGTTTTGGAGAGATCGCTTTGTAAAGCTGCCAACTCAGAAACAATGGCCTCCCGTAGAGACAAGTTACCGGAATTATAGCACTTTTCAACTGTGAAGGAACTTGATGACTGCATTGCAAGCTCTCCAAAATGTCCTCGTAGCCTTTCAGTTGAGAATATAAAAGCTATCATTGATTGGGTGCAAAACTAATAAAAAAATATCTAGCAAACTGATTGAAAGCTTCATTGATTATTCCCGACCAACAAGACTATCATACACATTCTATGTAATTAGAACTTTAAAGATCATGCATCAGAATTCAAATAGATGTCCTGCCTGGAGCTCTTAGTTCAAAAGGGAGACAAAAATTATAGAAAGCATGATGGAGAAAGGAAACTTTCTGTACATTAAAAGCCATCAAAATAGTTCGGTGACATACTTCATAACTAATCTGCGCTTCAGTTTTGCAGGGGCGTCAGAATTTAAAAAAGCTTCAATAACACGAGCTCCACTGGAGTCTTTTGCTACTTCAAGAAGATGATCGGATTCCATTGATGTGATACTTGTAATGAAAAGTTGAATCAGTTCCTGAAACATAGAAATGCTAGGTCCTTCAGACTTGAGAATAAATCAAACCTCAAAAAGTGTTATCCAAGCAAATAGTTCAAGAAAGATCATGAAATCTAAGCAGGAAGTCTAATGCAATTCACGTTGTTTCACAGTCAATTAGCAGTAATGATTACACAATATACACTACAAAGTAAATAGGTGGGTCCCATGCTGCAAACAAGAACCTTTGATCTAGATTGTAGAAACTATAGGGTAACAATGTAAGGGTAAATTTTTTCCACATCATCAGACAAAATTGAATGTAAACTATACAACCGTCCAAATTTGAGATAATTGTACTAGGATAATATAGCCAGGTAATTAATCTTCCATGAAAAATGTTCCTAACCCAAGTTTTGGATAAGGAACCACAAAATTGCATAAATGGTATAGAATTTCATTAAACAATACAGAATTACAAAGAACAAAGTAGATAAAATCAATAATAGTAACAACAGTAACACAAATAAGCATAGACTTCAATATCTGGGAGGAAAAAAGAGCATAAACTTTAATGTGAATGTTTAGTTTGCCCTTCCAAAATCAAATAAACAGCAATATCTGGGAGGGAAAAAAAACATACACTTCGATAACGAAAAACTGTTTGCAGGATTAGAGAGCCCATGACGTGTATTTTAACTCCACTAGGAAAATCCCATTTGGCTTTATCTCCGCATGAGAAATATCTGTCAACATACAATATTCGAGGAATAATGTATCCTGGAGATTCATCAGTTGAACATACAGCACGAACAAGAGCTTCACAACACTGTCAAATATCATCAATTCATAATTAGAAAAGTAGACAACAAATCAAATAGGATCACATCAACATTCAAACACATGTTTATAACAAGTCAAAATTTTGAAGCATAAAAAAAACTAAATAATAGACCTTCTGCTCATGTGTTTGAAGCCTCTGACTTGCAGCAATTAGAGAAGCGACAACTCCTGACCTTCCCATATGAAGAAGATCTCCAACTTTTGTTCCAATTTCTGACCATAGCAACTCCATCTAGGTGAAAAAAAAAATATGAGCATGAAAAAGCAACTCCGTCGTAAGTACTGACACAACAAATTCCTAGTCTATGTATTGCAATAGTAGAAAACTGTCGAAGATGCATTGCGTGCCACATATTTGCATGTGTACCCTAGTGTGTGAGAATGACTAGGAGAGGAAGGATGTAAATAAGATGTCATTGCAATTTCATTAAGTAAAAAAACGTTAATACTTTTTTTTTTTAGTTTAACAAAAAAAATGCAAATACATACTTGATGTTTATATTTTATGTTAGAAATTAGCGCTTGGACAGCGAAGTTTCCACAGGGATGAGATGACAACTCGAGCAATGAATTCTTGAAAACTATTGTGAAGAGTTCATCGAATATGTTTTCTGGAGCCACTTCCAAAATCACCTGCAAAATCACGCTACCAGAATCAGTACATCAAATCCTAAGAAATACTCTTCTTTTTCCTGAGATTGGAGTATGGGAAAAAAATATTGTTGATGAAAACCATTTCATACATGCACCATAAATGCAAATTAACTTTACAGAACAAAAATATTTCAAGTGCAAAAAATGGAACTTGGCCCTAGAAGTAACCATTTCTTCTGCGCATTCTCAAGCCTCATTTTTTTCTTCTTCCTATCTATTTTTCAATTGTATCAAGTCTATTTAATGTCCCAATAACCAAAAACTGAAAACTGCATTATGAAATAAACAAACTTGAACAAAATAGATTGGACTTAGTAATTTGGTCCCAATTTTTCATTTGTTTGATTCCCACTAGAGACAACAAAGACCCTTCTTTACTTTACAATTGGAATTCATTCTTGTAATTCAGCATTGGTGGTCATTTCATTTATTAATGATACTCTTTCTCTAAGAAACGCACAAAAAAAACAACGAAGTTGTCTGCACTGAAATATGGGTAATACACAAAAGATCTATTATGGGAGGCATGTAAAACCTGACTGCTGAATTTTAAAAGGTCAAATATTATCCCACCAGTACAAATTTTACAAGTACAAACAAAATATCAAAGACTATTAGGTACTGGACAAATATGATCAAGCAAACAAATTGAAAAGCTATAAGTACTTAAATACATGTATAGCTTACTAGTTTACTCCCATAAGTTCAAAAGCAACTCCAACTAGGATTGTACATCTCACCTCCATTAAATGACTAAAGGCAGTCTCTTTCATCAAATCTATAACATCTCGAACAACAGATATTTGTATATAATTTCCTTCGACAGGATCTCTCTCGCTACAGCCAAGGAGGATGGGAATTATATGTCTGAGCTCATCATCTTGCCCCACCAATGACTTCAGAATAGTCTGAAAGGTAGTGAAAATCAATTACTTCAGCATAATTAACGGGAAAGCTGAAAAACAGACGAGGTAAGAAGCCAGTTAAAGCCACTTAAAAGTTTGAAGGTGCTAAAAGTGCAGATGCATTAAAGATAAATGGTCGGCATCACTTCATTCAAAGAATCCACCATTTACCTCAGAGTCACAACTACATTTAAATTTATTAGTTTATTACTACATATAAAAGAAACAAAACTTTGTTCAAAAACAACAAAAGAAGACAAATGAAATGCATCTAAATCTGAAAAATAGTCAAAAGACATTGCTAAAGGAGAAGCTCCAAACCCAAATTTACAACAAAAGGTCTCAATTATAAACCTTTAGAGAAAAAGAGAGAGAGAGAGAGAGAGATAGAGTCTCCTAAACAAGTAGAAGGCGGCCCAAAAAGTAAGCATTGAAGTAGATACTATGCAACTCCCCGAACCTCCTCCCAATCAAGAACCATGTTAAATTTTTTTCCCCAATTTCACTTCAACCAAGTATTCCAGAAAATAGTCGAGAAACCTGCCTCTAAATTTAATAAATAAAGAAGCTAAAAAAAACAGTGTTCTCAAAAACACTTCTGGCGTGCTTCTTACAAGATCAATATCCCTCCATCATCCATTAATATTAACAATAACCAGACATGATTGTAAATCGTTTCTTCCACCTTTTATTAAGCCTAGAGCCAATTTCTAGCTTAAGTTATTAGAATTTTCATGCGTGGAAAGTGGAATTTATTTAGTTGCGAAATGAAGGGGAAGAACAATTGAAAGATTGGAAACGAATGAAATGATCATTGTCGAATATACATTTCCATCGAAATTAAACAGCTAGTGGCCAAATATTGACATAGAGGCCACTTCCATCCTCTTGGAAGCATAAGAACAAAACATAACTAAATATATATAACCCATACACCTAAAACATTGGTCATAGAAGTCAACTATCGGGTTGCCTAATATACATGATCATAGAAGCTAACCAACTATACTTAGTTAACTTGAAATTTTTAAAAACATAAATAAAAAAATAAAAAAAAATTATGAAACCACAATATAATAGTATATTTCATAAAACAAAACCTGAATAACCAAACTGCCGAACTGATCAACTTGCAGGATCCTGACATCTTTTCTTGCACCCTTTAGCAACCCAAAGACAAGCCACTTCAGTGATTCTGGGAAGCCTATATGGAATCCACTATCTCCATTAAGCCAAGGTGCCTTGATATTCAACCGCTCTGCTACCACTTTAGATGATTTTCTGCTATGAAACTCTGAAGACTCTAGACCTACTCCTTTACAGAGATGAAGAAGGCTACGGAGAACATGAGAACCATAGCAGTTACACATCACATCCAGAGGATTGGATACAATTTCCTGAAAAACAATCATATGCTTAAGGTTACTTGTCTACAAGTATGGGCATATAATCTAATACACACAGGCAATAGGCACATTATTAATTACCCTAGTCAATGATTATTACCATCAAGAAACTTCATGCCTAAAGTAAGAAAAGTTCAAATGCTTTGTATGCATATAAAAACAAAGTAAAACCTTCACCATCCAAAAGCTAGGAAAAAACAAGTGACCAAAACTTCACACCTTACATATCGCAGTTAACGTGTCTTCAACCAAAGGATAAACATCTTTGTCTTGTAGGTGCATAGCTAAAGACTTGATAGCTGTTTCAGCAACATGTGAGCCAGATCTATCCATGGCAATAAATGGAAACTGCTTGGCACAGCCGTGGAGGAAATTGCAAAGGTCATCAACATTACAGCCTTCAAGAAGACTTTGCACAGTGTGACTTAGGATATAATCAGTGGCAAGTTCAAATTCCTTCCCCTCAGCTTCCGCTAGAGCATTACCACATATAACCGATCGTTCTTCAAAATCAACCGTATCACTTCCAAATAAATTAGAAATCTCTGTGAAGTATTTTGTTGTTTCGGGATCAACCTGCTTCCTACAGGACACTTTCCTCATGAGTATAGTAGAGAATAAGGAGCTAAAAAATGCACGAAATTAAAGAAAATCTCTACTGTGTGCTAATTGAATGTGCAATAAAATCAAGTTTACCGTAAAACGAGGAGCACTACCTAATGAATGAAGTTTGAGGTGCGGAAGTACTTTTCATCTTCGAAAACTTTTTGTCAGCGTTCAGGCTTCCACCATCTATCATCCCAAACGCGTTCTGGCGGGTGTCATACCGATCAAAGCCACCATGACCTCCTCGTTCAGCCTTCCTACTCATGCCGTTTTTCCTTCTCGCGCTTTTATACGTTGATTTATCCTCACCCATTGAGCAGTCTTCAACTGAAATAGAGCTTCTATGTCGCCTAGAAGCTAGAGCTTTCGAACCAACAGAAACCATATCCACCGAGCCACCAAGTTGAAAAGAGCTCCCACTGTACAGAAATGTAAATTGTTATTGGAGGAGCGGAAATCAATGCATAAAAAGTAGTGCTCGAAGATTTCACTGCAATTACAATAAAATAAGAACGCTCCATATTTCAAAATACCGATAGAGATTCTATCGATTCTAGCATGTGAAGAAAAGGAACTAAATCTCTAACACGTAATGTAACAAACGCATACTTCATCAAATTGGCAGAGACGGCAAACTAAACAAAATTTGGCCAGCAGCGTGAACGAAAAAAAAAAAAAGAAAAAAAAGAAAAAAAAAATCAAATCGATTAGCTCCTGACCAACACAATGCTAACTAAATAAATAAATCATCCATCATTCATATAAACTGCAGCACACAAATTTCGACCGACTGTCTAGAGAAGGACCAAACAAAGTAGAATTTCCAGCAAAACTAACAAACGTATTAATGGAAAACGGAGAAACTTACATTGAAACAGCTTGTTTTCAGAAACTCAAATCGCGAAGCGAAAGCAAGAAGAAGATGGCGAGAGAATTGGTGCTATGAGTCGCCGGAAAATTTTCGCCGTATAACCTCAATTCAGGGTTAAAATATTTTTTTCTTTTTTCTTGTTCAAAACCAAATTTAATTTAAAATAAATAATAAATAAAAATAATAATAAAAAAAAAAAAAGGTCACAAATGGGCTTAGGGTTTTAGAATTCTAGCGGACTTTGCCTTTGCCATTCCTTTCTGTTGGGCCTGTCTGCTTCAAACCCATTCGTTGGTTGGCTTTTTTTTTTCACATTAATTCCCATTTTTATTCCAAATAATTTAAGTCAGGGGACAATTATGGAATTTTTAATGTTTTTCTTATTTAAGACGTTTTTGGATTGACTTTAATTATTTATTTTAATTTATGTTAGAAGGCTCGTAGGTGATAATATATAGTAGGGGCGGTAATCCAAACAATTTGAATAGAGTTCGCACTCTACCCAAATCAATCTTTTATTTTGAAAGTTATTTTTTTAATTATTTAAAAAATTATAATACATATTAATTTAATAATTTTATAAGAGGGATTGTATCAGTCGAGTTGTAACCCTATTTTCAAGTTAGTCGCGTTGACATCATAATAAAAAATGTCAGCCTACAAATCGATCCAAAATTTTTTAGTTTTCAAAAAATTCAACCCAAAATTGAAGAAAAAAATATCTAACCCGACTCAATATCTATGATTTGGGTTTGACTATTCAGATTAGTCAAATTCTCGGGTAATATGAATTACATGTTTTTTTTTTAATATTATTCTTAATATTTTAATTATATTGACAAAAATTCAATTCAAATTTCAATGGCCAAGGACAATAGTGTAACTTTACGCAGTTTTCAACTTTCACCTAAAACACTTTATTATTATAATTATTGTTTTTCCTTCTTTTATTGATTTCATACCATTTTTCAAACCATTCTTAAATTCTAATTTTGAATCAAATTCGTTGTTCCTTCCAAACACGTCTCTTCTCAATATTCCTTCTCTAATTTATTTTGAAACGAAAAAAAAAATTAAATTAATAAAAATACCATTAAACTTTGAAATACTTAAGTACTTAATTTTAAATAGAAATAATTAATATTTTATTTTTAAAATGCCTTTAAATTTTTAGATATATTTAAAAAATGTTCTTGAAATTTCAAAATTACCTTATCTTAATAGATAGACGGAATCATTAATATCATGTTTCAAAAATACCTATGAACTTTTGAAATTAACGTTAATACATTGTATCTCTAGGAAAAAGTTTAACAAGTTCAACTTAGCGACAAATAAAATTAATAAAAAATATGATAGGTGTAAATAAACCTTTATTTATTTATTTATTTATTTTGTAAATGTGGAGTATTTTTTTAACTATACATTTTGAAACACTGTATTTAATCATTTCCCTCTAAAGATAGATATTATTGATTTTTTTAAGTTTAATTTTAAAGTTTAGAAGTATTGTTTTTTATTTATTATTAATTTAGCAAAAAAAAAAAAAAAAAAAAAAAAAAAAAAAAAAAAAAAAAAAAAAAAAAAAAAAAAAAAAAAAAAAAAAAAAAAAAGCACTTTCATGGTACTCTCCTTTTTAGTGTGATCCTCTTTGAAGCAAAAGAAGGGGTCACATTCTGAGCATAAGTCTAAGTAGCAAAGGTGTGACACTAGAGTGAAAGAGAGGTACATAAATGAATCTATACCACATTTAAATGAGAATGATCTTGATGATGCGATGACTAGCAAAGGTTTAGAAAAATTGAAAGTTAAGACCTATACGAACAATGTGTACCTTTCTTTTCAGTGACTCAATCACATGAACTACATGGTTAAACATACTTTTCTTTGAGCGATTCTATGTTGGGTGGCCTCTTATGAATTTTTTGGAATGCATGTGAGTGTGGATAAACATGTTGAAATGACTCGTATTGATAAAAGTGAGAGGTAGACAACGAGATCATGTTATAAAAAATGCAGAAAAAAATCGGATGATCGGGTATTCTACAAAGAACAAAGAACATGAAAGTTGACAAACACTCTATTAGGACAAGACTATTAACAAACAACCTCCTGCCAAATGTGTTTCTTCTGTTAAATGAATGGTCATTCCCCTTTATTTGTATTGATTTACTTTCATTTTGTCTGTTATTGGTGGCTTTGTATTCTGCTGCCACGTGTCGAATGGAAGTAGAAAATACAGGTATTCCGGTTGGATAGGATAGTTTTAAAAATCAATTTAATTGTTCGTAATTAATATTTAGATTATTTATTCAATTTTTTTTTGTTTAAAATATCAGTTCATAATACCTTTATTTATTTATTTTTAAATATTTAATTGAGATTACCTTCCATTTGAATATATATTTTAAAAAATTACTTTAAAATTGTTTTAAAGTTAAATGAATATATATATATATATATATATATATAAAATAAATTTGAGTTAGTTCGGTTTATCTCAATCTAATTTTAAGAAAATTGACGAATCAACCAACTTACTATAAAGTTTTCATTTATTTGAACTCAATCCAAACTCAATAAATTCATAATCCAACTTAAATTATACGAGTTGGGTTATGTTAATCGAGTTAATTAAATTAAAATATTGTAAAAATGAATTAAACTAAAATTGAATTTTTGTTTCTAAAAATCGACATTTGTGAAGATACGAAGAGGGCATGAGGTCGGAATAAAGTGAGCATGAGTACGAACACTTTAATTTTAAGGGAAAACAATGGACAATTGAAAAAACACATTGAAATATGTAACTGTGTAGCCTAATATTTTAATAGATTTTTCCCTCCCAAATATAATTTAAAAACATTAATGAAAATGTAACAAATAACATTACAATTTATTTATTTTGTTAATAATTTAGCCTTTATTTATTTATTTATTTTTATTATCCTATCACCTCTAAAATATAATAAGTCATCCTTTCACTTTCTCCACGTCATCATTACAATAAATTTTAGGTTCAAATGCAAATTTGGCAAAAAAAAAAAAAGAAAAGAAAAGTGTTTGCAAAATAATATGTTTTTATATCTGTAAATAATTAAAAAAAAAAACACTATTATTCTTTTTCCATTATTGCATTAAGCTTTATCCTAAATAAAAAATATATATTTTTATAGTAAATAAAATTCTCCAATTTTATATTATATGCTTAAGATTATTTAAATAATTTTTATAATCGATATCTTTTTTTTTCCTACTATTTTGGGTTTTTTAAATATTTAAATCTAGTTTAAAATTTTTTTTAATAAAATTATTAGGATCTAATTATAAAAATTATAATAGAAATCAAATTAATTTTAGGGGTTAAAAAAATAAAATAAAAAATTAAAAGTGGAGAAACCGACATCGGAAAACAGGTGGCTATAATGGTATGTTTTTTTTTTGAACTTCGCAGATATTTAATTATAAAATTTGAGGTGACGTGTTCATTTATTGGACAACTGCTACGTGTTTAAATTTTGCACGAACAAAACGAGAATTTAGCTTGGAATTTTCCCACTGCCATGTGCTTGTTGCCCAAGCTATGACCTAAAATAAAATGCTTTTCATCAAATGTCCATTTTGCCCCTGTTTTTTATTTTATTTTTCAAGCTTGTTTTTATATTATTTTCCGCTAAATGTCCATTTTGCCCATGTTTTTTATTTTATTTTTCAAGCTTGCTTTTATATATTTTTAATTTGTAAACTTAGTTTCATTTTTAAATATATATATGTATGAAAATTCCAAAATATTACTGACACAAACCTTTTACTTACATAAAATTGAAAAGCAATATAAATAAAATTAAAATATTATTTTCAAATTACCCTCTCATGTCAATTTCAAGTTTTTTTTTTTAATTTTTTTAATTGAAATTAGGTAAATAATAACAATAATTTTAAGGTAAAAATATACCGGATATATTTAAAAATTTTATTTAATAATTAAAAAGTATTATTTTGTTAAAAAAAGTTAACAATATTGCTCAGCCTTGTTATAGTATTTACCTTTAAATTTTAATAAATTTTATTTTAAAAATAGATAAAATAAATATTATCACGTGCACTAAATAATTATAAATTTTAAAAGCTAAATCTCTATAATCATTAATTTTAAAACTTAAATTTTAATAAAAATTCATACAATAAATCATTGCAAGCACTTCGAAATTAAGCTCGATTTCATGTAATATTTTATTTATGGTGATAATTACGAGCTTTGAAAATTTTAAAGAAATTTAAGTTTTAATTTTTAAAATTTTTGTTTATAATTTGTTAAAATTCTCATAATATTATATTAAAAATTAAAGCACTTTGAAAATAGTATTTTAATTTAATTAAAAATTAAATGTATTTGTGGAAGAAATTAACGGATTTTCTAAAAAAGGAAGGGAAAAAAAAAAACATTTTCGCAGCTCTGTTGGAGAAAGAGGAAATTGACGAAGCAAGAATTGAGATTGTAAATCAGTGAGATGCTTTGGCATGGCATGGAACGAGCTGGAATGGATTTCCATGGCGGAATGAATGGAGGAGGGATGAGAAGAACAGGGGCGCCGCTGTTCGGTATGGGAATTCGATGCAAAATGCATATCAATGTCGCAATCCATGTGCGGCTTCGTGACCAGACGAATTGGTCGGCTTTGACAGCGACAAACGCAGGTGCGTGTACCATCGACGAACTTTCCTTTTCACCCCCCCATTAAATCTTGACGCGGAAGTTCGAGGCCTGCGATTCTCAACCATTTCTTTTGAGCTATCCCATCAGATACAGTAGCGGCACCTGCTTCTTTCTCTCTCGTTCCTTCTCATTCGCTTCTTCATCCTTCTCTATGGCGTCTCTTTTGGAAAAACCTCTTCCGGTTTCCGTTCAGAACATCAATCCTAAGGTATACTTTGCATATTGATTTTGAACTGTTATTTTTACTGTTTGACGATTTGATGCACTGTTTGGATTGGATTTTCTACTTCCAGCTAAATCGTGATCGTGTTCTCTGTTATCGTTGTTGTTATCCTTGTTATCGTCGATCATGGCGGATCTGTGATGTTCCTTACTCATCTTGTGTTTGCGCTTTCTGTTATAGCTATGTTTCTTGT